CCCACCTTCTTCGCCTGCAGCTCAGTCCCTATGACTAAGGGTGTGGAAAAGGATTCCTTTTTCCACAAGCCCGTGACTGAGCTGGGACAGGAGGGATCCGCAGTCCCCCTTCACTCAGAGACAGCAAAGACTTTTATCCCCCAGAGACAGGAATCCCCTGGCTGTGAGGTGGTAAGCCTGGGGAGCGGCTGCCGCCGGCTGTCCTCAGGAAAGGTCTGCCACTCTCCGACCTGCTGTTGACCTGAACTCCAGGGACAGCCACTCCCCTGCCATTTGCTCCTGCAGACAGAGAGTGGGACGGATGACATCATGGCACTTTTTGGAGTGCTGAAGTGAAGTTTTGACAAATTCCAAGGGACATCAAAGTGCAGAACAACAGCCAATACATCATAGCCTGTCACCAGGGCCCCCACCCCTGATTATCACATTAAATCAGCCGGTGGGCACATTTCAGCTGAAACTCAACAGACGCCTACTGGAACTCACAGTTTCTCCTTCCAGAGTTCAACAAATATGGCAATGGTTACATTTTAAAATCTGTGTTTTCTATTCTACATTCAGTCTCTCTCTCACACACACACACCACACACACACACACACACACACACACGCACACATGTTACTAACTAAACAACAGAAGCATGTTGCTAGAGAATACCAGATAACTGGGATTATGTTGTGCAGTAGAATAGAATGCTGATTTGGATTCTAATCCTAGCTCTGCCACTTAATAGCTCGATATCTTTAGCAAGTTAGTTAACACCTCTGAGCCTTAATTGTCTCAGGGTAAAATAAGGACAATAACATTTCTATTTCCAAAATTGTGAGCATTGGTTGGGAGAGCAGTTCAACCTTAGTTCTTGCCTGGTAACTGTGGACAATGTTTGCTAGTCATAAAGTGTTGTATTTATTTCTTGATGTGTTTATTGTGTGTTCCTTTTTGAACATAAGAAAGATAAGACATTATTTTTTCCTCCAGGTTTGCTGAGAAGTGCTTGTGGGTGAGCTGAGGGTAGGGCATCTATGGCTCGGGTTTCAGGCTATGGGGGAAATATCTGCTGGGCTGTTATTTCCCCGGGTAAATTCTCACTGGGGGAGGGAGCAGAAGGTAATTTCAGAAAGAGCTTGTGTTGATCTTTCAAACTGTTTCTCCCAAACTCTGGAGTATCCAAAGCAAGCAGGGTTATCTGCCAGAATGTCTCAGAAAGATAACAGGCATGTGAATTCTACACTAACAATAGGGCATAAGAAATTTCATGTTTCTTGTATTACTTTCAGCTAAATTTGATCTGCTACTGTAGCCATCCTGCCAGGGTGGTAGGAAATTCAGTTGCAGACCTTCCTGTAATGACCCTTCCTCTCAGTTCCTGTGGACATTCACCCAGATCATTCGGATAGAGTCCTCTGGTCTTCGGTTCACACGGGTGACTACTGATGTATTCATTTGCTAAGTCCTCATGCTCCTGGAAGTCCACCATTCCTTGGCACAGCTTTGTCATTGCTACAATTTCTCCCTAAGGCCCTGCTGCCTCCCGAGGATTGCCAGAGAAGGAGAGCCTTCACACCTAGTATCACAGCTCCCTTCCCTTCCAGTCCTGGGGGAGGCACTAGAATCCTTTGAAGGCTCCCTTTTCTATCAGGACTGTCTCCTTCTCCACCTTTTGGAGAAGATGAAGGGTAATCTCCCTTAAGAGAGCCTGTGGAGACACAATGATGGCCTCTGTTCCTTAGGAGTGGGGGAAAGATAAGTTATCTAGGTTAACTAGGATTAACTAATTCTGTTACTGAGATGGGTGACAAGATGGGATTGGGGAATTTGTTTGGGGACTCAGTGAGGACACGCAGGAGACGGATCTAAAGAATCACATGTGAAATGGATAGGGTTCTGATCCCTCTGAAATATCTGTTGCTTTCCTTCTTCCACTTCGACCCCTGCCCCCACTATAATTATTCTGTCTGTTTTTGGAGACAGAATCTTGTTCTATTGCCAGCCTGGAGTGCAGTGGCGTGATCTCGACTAACTGCAACCTCTGCTTCCCGGGTTCAAGAGATTCTCCTGCCTCAGCCTCCCGAATAGCTGAGACTACAGGTGTGTGCCACCATGCCCAGCTAATTTTTGCATTTTTAGTAGGGATGGGGTTTCACTATGTTGGCCAGCATGGTCTTGATCTGTGGACCTCGTGATCTGCCCACCTCAGCCTCCCAAAGTGCTGGGATTACAGGCATGAGCCTGTAATATCTTTAGTATTCTAAAGATAGAAGAAGCCAATTCTTCTATCTTTAAAAGGTAACCCAGGTTGGGAGGGAAGGCTGGGAGCACAATAGAAGACAGAACTACTTTGTTTAGCCCCAGAACCAGCAGCAGATACTCCCTGCCAATCACACGGCACTCACTTCTTTGTGTAAATTTAGAAGGTACTTGCCCAGGAACAATCTGGCTTGACTGTCACAGCCATCCTGCAAGGAAAGTGGGGCAGTCATTAACCCCATTTTCCAGATAAGGAAGCTGAGGCTGACATCGATTAAAAGACTTGCCCAAAGTAACCAAGCTGTTGAGGGGCAGAGCAGCAGGACATAGCATCCAGGTCTCTTGACTTTTGCTTCAAGAGCCCACAGCCTCACTCGGTGCTTAGATGAGGCTTTGGCTCCATGCATCAGTGATTTGTGATGTTTGCCTTTTGCCAAAGAGGAGGATGGCTGAAGAGCCAGTGCCCTGGCATTCTGGACTCTTGTCAGTAGATTTTGTCTGACTCTTGCTCTGATGCTATTCTTTGTTATTTTCAGGAAGGGGAGCTAGATGTAGAATACATTTCTTTTTCTTGGTAATGTGAACAGCAAGAAGCAAGTAGAATACAATTTTTATGAGAGAATATGCTCTGGACTTTGATTCATATCTGGTGGGTCCCAAAAGACCAGGTTACTGCAGATTTAAGACCGTGTTGCAAATTCGGCATTCATTCAATAGGACTACCTTAGCAAGGGGAGTAATTTTATAAAATTATCAATTCAGTCTCAAAGAATAATAGCAGGAAATGTATTTCTGACTATTTAGAAGTGACTCATTATGGGACTACTTGAAAACTATATATTATTTTTATCAGTAAAAATTGCCTATGGTCAATGTTATCTCTTCACATCCAGGGATTCTAAGATCCGGTTACCCATTTCCCTCAAAGCAGCAGACAGCAAAGACAGGGAAATGAAAACCCACCAAACTTTCTGCAAGGCTGACACCACCTCTAAACCCCACTGCAAACTGATAACACCACACCCACCTCTGCAAATAACAGAGGGGCAGATAAGATGAACATTTTCATTCCTATTAGCAATCATTTCCAGTCAGTGAAACCGGCAGAATCAGAAGAGGTTCCACAACCAGAAAATCTTGGCTGGAGTTTCACCATTAGGAATAAAACAGAAAAACTAAAGAGTGCCCCAGATAGCCTTTCTTAAGGTGCTGTGTCAGATAGATGCTTTTGAATATTTAAAACAAAGGATGGCTGAGAGTTCTGCAGTCATTTCCCAGTTAAATATCAGATGGCATAAAATATTTTTATAGAAAGTACAGGCCAGGTGCAATGGCTCACGCCTGTAATCCCCACACTTTGGGAGACCGAGGTGGGCAGATCACTTGAGGCCAGGTGTTCAAGACCAGTCTGGCCAACATGGCGAAACCCCGTCTCTACCGAAAATACAAAAATTAGCCGGGTGTGGTGATGCGCGCCCAGAATCCCAGCTAGGTCAGGAGGCTGAGGCATGAGAATTGCTTGAACCTGGGAGGCGGAGGTTGCAGTGAGACCAGATGGCACCACTGCACCTCCAGCCTGGGTGACACAGTGACACCCTATCTCAAAAAGAAAAAGAATACATAATCCACTTTTCGTTAGCTGGTATTTGGCCTCACCAAGGTGAAGCAGGAAAAGGAAATTCTATCTGTATCAGCCAGATTCTCTCAGACTCAGGTATTCACTGCACTGCACGAGGGACCCTGGTGTCCAGACTGTTGAGCATACCAGACTAGTGAATGCCCTTCCGAAAGGGCCACCATGCAGCAGGGCTTCCCATCGGAGAGCTGTGGTCCGAGCCAAGGCAGCTCTCAGGGCTTGCTCCACTACTCTAGGGAGGCGGCCCAGATCTGTCTCTCCCAAACAATGCCTGGGTTTGACACTTCCTGAGAAAGCAGAGATTGTTCTCTTTGTATGCCACGGCTCTGGAATGCAGCTCTTCCTGTAAGGAAGACAATGGTCTTTATGGGAAGGCTAGGACTTGCAGGAGGTAAGATTTGAACAGCAGAGCTGAGAGCTAGCTTTGCTGCTGAGGGAAATGGTGGGCACAGAACCCCCACGGTGGGCGAGTTGGGGTGTGGGTGTGCCTGTGGGCTGGCAGGTGACTCTGCCTGGAGCATTGCAGGGGTGAGGAGGAGATCAAGGAGTTAAGAAAGGTAGTGTAGGGGGAGAGGCCCAGAGTTTTCAACACCAGCCTTAGGAATCTGGGACATATGCACTATCCTTTGCCATTCAAAATGTGTCCTGGGACCAATGGCATCCTTGGACTTGAAAGCTTGTTAGACACATAGAAGCCGGGGCTCACCCCAGGCCTGCTGAATCACAACCTGCATTTTAACAGGACCCCCAGGAAATTCTATCCTCCTTCAAGCATGGCTCTAGGCTAAGAGAAAGCGCGAACAATTTTTAGAGCTGGGGGTAAAGTGATGGGAGGAGTGTTTGGGAATGAGGCCACTGGGGTGGTTAGAGAACACTCACTTGAGAGTTCCGCAACAATGCAGGCATGAGCAGCGAGAGTGAAGGCCGAGGGCGGGGGCGGGGGCAAGGGAGACAGGTCTTTCCCCACAAGCCACAAGGCCGGAGGCACACCTCCCGCCCTGCCTCCACCTCAGGTGGCAGGAATCTTGTTGGTGAGCCGTCCAGACATTGTGTGTTCTGGAAGTGGACATCGCGGCATCTGTGTTTTTGAAGTCAGATTTCATTGCCGTGGTTTCTATGCCTGACCCCCCGAAGTTTTCGCTCCCGTTGCCACAGGGAGCCGGGAGAGTACAGAGCGCTGCTGCCGGTGCCCTGCGGCCATACAAACATGCTCCTGCTCCTGGCTGAGCCAGAGCTGCTGGGAAAGACATTTCGGAAGTTTCCTGTGGTTGCAACAAATTGTTCAAATCTGCACCGGAGCACCGCTGTGACCTGTCTTTCTCCATCTTAGGGCAACCAGCTCCTGAAACTGGAAACTCCCTAGCACCTCCTCACCCTACCCCGCAGCCTCTCCTTGTGGAAGGAGGTGGAGGGGGTGTTGTCCGGAATGCCTGGCCTCTCTGTCCAAGCATGGCAGCCTTGGCCCATGGGTGGCGCAGACTCAGTTTCCTATGCATCTTGCCCCAGGGAGGAGGTGGGGGTTCCTTCCATAGAGATGGTGAAGAATAAGGGAGGTAGTGATCGTCTCTGGGATCCAGTTAAATCTGCATCTGCAGGCAGAAAGAGGCTGGGGGACATGGAGAGAGTGATCAACTGGAAGATTCTAGGGTCCTCAATTTTGAAAGGTGACATGATACCCTGGAACGGGCATGAACTTAGTTGTCAGTCCGTCCCTGCCTTTTCCAATCAAAGCTGAGTGGCCATGGCAAATTAATGATCATCTCTGAGTTTCAGTCTCCTGTCTAAAATGAGGTGATAATAGCTTCTCGAAGGTTGTGAGGCCCTGAACATGCTGCCTGGCACATAGATGGCTAATCAATATTTTCCTAACCTTCCCTTCTCTGAAGTTGCTACCTCTCTCCTCCTGGGGTCTTGCAAAGAAACTTCTGAATTAAATAGTTCCTGCCTGGTAGTTTGTATCAACTGAAGGAAGACAAGTCTGGACTATGACATTTTGAAATTGAAGGCTACATTTAAAAATAAATGTAACCATTGGCTTTCTGGAAGGACGAAATGAAACCAGACCGCTTTCTGGAAGGGAGTCTTTTGGGGCTTCGTTCAATGAACAGACTGGAGTGTAATTAGTTATTTGATAGCAAATGGGTTCTCTCAAGACATAAATACAGTTTAAAGCCGTTTGTTCTAGGGTCTACAGTTTCAACATGGCCCACTGCATTCATGTTTCTACCCTTAACTTGCCAAGTAAACCCATAGTTTGTTAGTTCAAACACTAATCTCTGATCAGTCTCATTTATTCTAAATTTGTTTTCACACAGTTGCTTCCACAACTCAAGGTATTTTCTATTCTTTGCTCTCTGGAGACTGAGAGGTTATCAGGTGTGGAAAGGCTTCCACGAGTTTTCCTCTAATATAGTCCTGGGGAATACAGAAGCCTCCTCGAATGAATGGTCGGACTTACCTTTTCCCAGGACCATAAAAGTATATATTTTTGTTTCCTGTCCTAAACACAGTGTAACTCACTCCTCGTTTTTCCTGGGAGATTGTGGTAATACTGAGAGGCCTGGGGGGTCTCTGGGATAAAGCAACTTGTAAAACGACTATGAGGGGGTTCCAGATCTGACTTAATCAACATTTCTCAAGATTTGTAGACCAATAAAACTGTTTGCTTTCTTACCACAGTTCCACCGGCTGATTTATTTCTCTTACTTGGCTGAAGCTGTCGCTGCTCAAAGCAGTTCATTTGTCAGGTCGAGAGAATTACAATGCACAGTACCTTTTGCTAGTGCTATCTCAGTTTATAAATTTCACGAATCACAATTTATTGCGGTGCACCCCACAGAGTCTCCTATTAATAAATTGTGGCTCATCAGCAAAAGCACGTGTCTATGGCTCCCTTGGACATAGGCTTAGGGTCCTGGAGCGGCCGCACAGGCTGCATGTGGCCAACACACAAACGTAGCCGGGCCGGCTCCCGCAGCCTCTATCTGAGTCTCCCTTTACTTGCAATGACTCTCTGCATGGCCTGGTTTCTTGTTTTCACCTCTGCAGGGATGCCATGTAAAGGAGGCCAGACACTACCTGTGTATGTTTGTGTTGTGGTGGGGAGGGCCGGGCCATAGGAAGAACTTAATTCCTTCCAAAATCTACAGGTTTCTCCCTAATAGATTTCATCAACCTGTGGGTACAATTGATTTCATCAACCTGTGGGTACAGAGTTTCATTAATAATGCAAACCTTTTGTTCACTGACTCTTTTCCATCCCAGCCACCACCACCACCTCAGCTAGAGCTTTCTGGGCATCCTTGGGGTTTTTCACATGCTCTCAGAAGTGAGTCCAGTAGTGACTTGCCCAAGTAGTCAGGTCGGCTCCTCCAAGGCACCTTCCATTTCCTTCCTTCCACCTGCGCTGGCCTCTTCTGCTGGGTGTGTGCAGTTCCCACGGGACATTCTATATCTTCCACTCTCTCTGTCTGCTACTGACACCTAGGTCCCGACTAGGGGCTGCATTTTGCTCCCCAAAATCCATATGTGAAATCCTAGCCCTCAGTACTTCAGAGTGTGACTGTATTTGCAAAGAGGGCCTTTAATATGTAATTATGGTAAAAGGAGTTTGTTAGGCTGGTCCTTAATCCCATGTAACTGATGTTCTTATAAGGAGAAGAAATGAGGGCACACACACAAAGGGAAAGACCATATGAAGACACAGGGAGAAGACGCTCACCTGCTAGCCAGGGACAGGGTCCTCAGAAGGAACCAGCCCTACCTTGGAAGAAGTAGACATGCTGATCTCAGACTTCCAGCCTTCAGAATGGTGAGAAAATATATTTCTGTTGTTGAAGTCACACAGTCTGATACTTTGTCATGGTCATCTCAGGAAACGAATACAATCTGCTACCAAGAAATGTCTGGCACCTTCATGACGACCAGCTGGGTACCGGTGGATGTCAAGTCAGGGATGACAGCTTGCAGCTTCTGCTGATGCTTGCCCTTGGAGAGGAGCCCCCAGACCCTGCTGTTTGTGCCAATGTCATTTCAGTGTTTGTGGAGTAGCCCAGGGGTCCCCAACCCCCGGGCCATGTATCGGTACCAGTATATGGTCTGTGGCCTGTTAGGAGCAGCAGGAAGTGAGTGGCAGGTGAGCGAAACTTACTGCCTGAGCTCTGTCTCCTCCAGATCAGCTCACCCACCGCATTAGATTCTCATAGGAGTGTGAATCCTTTTGTGAACTGCGCATGCGAGGGATCTAGGGTGCATGCTCCTTATGAGAGTATAATGTCTGATGATCTGAGGTGGAACAGTTTCATCCAGAAACCATTGCCCCCTGCGCCCCTAGTCTGGAAAAATTGTTGCTTTCCCTCCCTGCATCCGTTCTGTGCTCTAGTCACTCTGGAGTCATTATCCCAGAAGCGATCATGACTTTCAGCTCCAGCGAGAGGCTGGCGTCATTCAGGGGACCCGGGAATCACAGTGATCCTATGTGGTGGGAGCTGGAGCTGTGGAGGAGATGGACACTGACTGGAGATGCCACTCAAGGCTGAGAGAGGAGGGAGGAAGGTCCCTGGCTGCTCTCTTCCTCCCACCCTCAGGCTCTTGTCAGTGTCTCCTTGGCTGAGCCCCCTGGGATCTGGGGCAGCTGGGGAAACACAGCCTGCAGGGGTGAGCTCCTGCTATAGACAGTTGAGCAGGAAATGGATGAGGAGTGGCTCTCGGGACAAACAGGCCCAGGACTAGGGTTCCTTTCATAGCTGTCTATTAGTTTATTGTGACTGCTGCAGCAAATGACTAGACACTTGGATGGCTGAAACAGCAGACATTTATTCCTACAGTTCTGGAGGCCCGACATTCAAAATCAAGGCATTGGCAGGACCATGCTTCCTTTAGAGGCTCCAGGGGAGGTCCTTCTATGCCTCCTTCAGGCTCTGCTGACTCTAGGTACACCTTGACTGGGGCTGCATCACTCCAATCCCTGCCGCCTCCTGCACGTGGCCTTCTCCTTTCCTCTGTATGTCTCTCCTCTGTGTGGCATCTTTCTGTATGTGTCATTGGACTTAGGGCCCACCCAGATTGCAAAGATCCCTTATCCAGACAAGGCCACATTCACAGCTTTTAGGGCTTAGGATGTGGGCATATCTTTTGGGGACCACCATTTCACCCACTGCAACCTCCTTAATTTTGCTCAAGCTGTTCCTTCAACCTAGTGGCCCCTACCCTCCTCCTTCTAGAAAAATCCTTCAAGTCTCCTCTCAAGTGTCACCTTCAGCATGAAACCTTGCCTGAACTACATGATCAGACCCACTTACCATCTCTCCTGGGCCCCCATAGTTCCTTGTTCTTGTGCATGGCACTTATCGCCTTGATAGTCCACTGGCAGCTCCTCAAGGGCAGAGCAGGGCCTGTGGCCTCTGCTCCAAGGTCCAATGTCACATCTCAGTTCCTTTCTTCCATGAGGACCAAGACCCTGTTGTCTGGGCTCCAGTCTTCTCTTCTTGTTTTGGGTCAAAACAGCTTCCTTACACCCTCCTGAGCCTCACATGGCTCTGCCCTGCATCTGCTAGACACTTGCTAGGCATCTCATAAGTCTGGGATTTGTCTCCAGTTTGCCTGAATCCCCCTCCTTCCCGGACCTACATCACACATGGCTGCCCAGAGCAGTCCTCATTAAGAAGTATAGCTGTTGACGAAGCCTTGTCAGAAACAAGCATGGTCAGGACCAGAAGTGGGGAAAGAAAGATTCAATTTCAATTGTCACAGTACTTCTGGTAGAGGAATTTGATCTGGAATCGGGATAAAGAATGGGGCTATACCCTAAAAATTCATTTAAAGCTGGTAGGTGCTTTCCTTTAACATGCAATTAGTGTATTTTGTTCTACTAAGTATTTTACAAGCCTCCTAAAGTCCTGTAGAGATAAGCTTTGGTTACCTGGAACACTTGGGAAATGGGGAGCACTATTCTTTTAATTTTATGGTAACCAAAACCCCCTTTTGGGTTTTAATTCTTGATGCAGTTTTGCCTTAACTGCATATATCTTTTCTGTTTTAGGAAGCAGAGCAAACAGGATGCACGCTTTTTGCTCATGCAGTAGAGGACTAGGGCTGTAGCTTTGGAACTTGAGCTGAGCAATCTTGGGTCATGACCTTAATAAAATGTTAACCAGGTGCAGTGGCTCTTGCCTGTAATCCCAGCTCTTTGGGAGGCTGAGGCAGGATGATTGCTTGAGTCCAGGAGTTCAAGACCAGCCTGGGCAACATATATACATATACATCATATACATATACATATACATATACAAAACTTAGCAAGGCATGGTGGCTGTAGTCCCAGCTACTTGGGAAGTTGAAGCAGGAGGATTGCTTCAGCCTGGGAGGTCGAGAATGCAGTGAGCCATAATTGTGTCACCGCATTTCAGCATGGGCAGCAGAGAGAGACACTGTCAAAAAAAATCATTTTTTTTTCTGTTATTTTGAGGTGGAGTCTCATTCTTGTTGCCCAGACTGGAGTGCAATGACACGATCTCGGCTCACTGCAACCTCTGCCTCCTGGGTTCATGCAATTCTCCTGCCTCAGCCTCCCGAGTAGCTGGGACTATAGGCATGCACCACCTTGCCTGGCTAACTTTGCATTTTTAGTAGAGATGGGGTTTCTCCATGTTGGTCAGGCTGATCTTGAACTCCCAACCTCAGGTGATCTGCCCACCTCCACCTCTCAGAGTGCTGGGATTATAGGCGTGAGTCACCACACCCGGCCAAAAAAAA